ACCCACCCACCCATTCATCCATCTACCCACAAATCCATCCATCTCTCTGTCCATCCACCCAATCATCTACCCATCCAACCACCATCCACCCACTCAAAAACTCATCCATCCACCCACCCACGCACTCACCCATCCACTCATTCATCCATCCATCCATCCACCCATCATTCATCTATCTTTCCATTCATCCACCTATCCATCCACCCACCCATCCATCCATTCATCCAATCATTTAATCATCCACCCAACCACCCATTCATTCACTCACAAATCCATCCATCCATCCACCCATTCATCATCCATCCACTCACCCATCCATCCATCCATCCAATCATCTAATCATCCACCCAACCACCCATCCATTCACTCACAAATTCATCCATCCACCCACCCATCCATCCATCCAATCATCCACCCACTCACAAATCCATCCAGCCACCCATCCATCATCCATTTACTCACCCATCCATCTATCCATCCACCCATCCATCCACAAATTCATCTATCTATCCACCCACAAATTCATCTATTCATCCAGCCACCCAATTATCTATCCACCCAACCACAAATTCATCCATTCATCCATCCACCCAGTCATCCAGTCACCCAGTCACCCATTTATCCACTCAGAAATCCATCCATCTATCCATCCATCCATCCATCCACCCACCCACCCACACACCCATCCATCACCCAGCCATCCACCTACCCATTCACCTCCCTCATCCACCCATTCATTCACCTACCCCCGCATCTATCCATCCATTCTACAAATCTTCATTGTCAATCTCATCCACGTCACCATCACCTCTCACCTGGCAGACAGCACTGGCATTTGCACTGGTCTTTGCGCTTTCCCACAAATGCATCTTCTGTGTAAATGTGGCCTGACCACTCTCTCTCAGGATCCTTCTGTGGCTCTCCACTGCCTTTGGGGGAAGTCCTCTTTCCAGTGGTGCTCACATCCCAATACTGCTCTGCTCTCTTATACTGTATTCGAGCTTCACCACCTGCCTGCGGGCACCTGGCATTCCCCTTTGCCTGGTGAGAACAACAGTCCATACTCCAAATTCAAGGACAAAGCAAATTGCTCTTTGGCTGTAGTAGGATGAAACCCTACTCAATCAATGACGACATTGCATGCTTCCAAAAGCCAGCAAGTCAAGGGCAGCCCCACACTCCCAAAGCAGGTGCAGGCAAGAGCCTGCTCCCACACCTGAAGCCAGCCAAGCCCCGGGCACTCTCGCTTCTGAAAGTTGGCCCATTCTGCACGACATGGTCCCAAGAGGAGCAATTTGTTCTGCACAGCTCTCCTTTGCTCTAGAAAGCAAGAAATTCAGCCTCAACCCTTGTCAGTCTCACAATCTGTCCTCACAAAGGTCGAGGGCCCTCCCTCTGCACCTCCCAGCACTGCATCTATCTCTGTTTACACATCTCCTCCATCACCACTTACAGAGATGGGCTCTCCTTGCCTCGGAATGCTCAGCATCCAGCATGGGCTGGGCATGTTGGGTGCCAGGAACAGAAGTGAGAAATAAATATTCAGCCCTAGAGGGGAAGCCCAGAAGAAGAACCAGTTGATGGGCCTCACCTGAACCCTTGAGTGTGCCAGGTACCTGTGCTGATTGCATTCACCCATGGGATTCTTTGAAAGATGTGCTATTTTAAAATGTATAATGCATACTGAGTGTGTAAGGTATGTACACTCAATGTGAAGATAAGGGCAAAATGCACACCTGTGTACCCACCACCAGCTGAGGAGATACAACATGAACAGCATGTGTTGTTTTGTTGTTGTTTTAGAAACAAGGTCTTGCTGTATCACTCAGACTGGAGTGCAGTGATGTGATCGTTACTCACTGCAGACTTGAACTCCTGGGCTCAAGAGATCTTCCCACCTCAGCCTCCCAAAATACTGGGATTACAGGCGTAAGCCACCACACCAGGCCATGGGAAGCACTTTTAAAGCCTCTCTGTGTCTGCCCATCACATCCTTCCTCCTCCCCAAGCCCAGATACCCATGATTCCAACTTTTAATCACCCCTTACTTGTCTTTGGTTTCATCACCTATGTATGTAGCCTTACATGCTTGGTTATCTAGAAAACTGAGCAGTATGTGTGAAGGTGGCCAATAAGAAAAGGGCTCCTAGGACCCTACACAACTGTAAAATGAAGGCTCCTAGGAGAAAGCCTTGCTTTCAGTCTGCCTTTCATTTCCCTGTGGGTTTATAAGGGCCCTTTCTGAGACACCTGGAGGCAAGGGAAAAATAGGATTAATCAGAGCTGGAAAACCTGCAGGCTCTGGTGAGGACCAGGTTCCAGCTGACCCACAGGAACGTGCTCAAGAGAGGATGGACCGATTTGGATTGTCTCCTTTTAAGCCCACCAAGACTTACCTGTAGCTCTCAGGACTAGGGTCAGGGCAACACATCTCTGTGGTATGAAATGGGTGCTCCTGTGGTTCCAGGCATCAGGAGATGGAGAGAAGGGCGGGAATTAGGGAACACATGGAAAGGACGGGTGCCGGTGAGAATCTGGGCCAGGCTCACCCAGGCATTCTGTCTTGAGGTTTAAAAAAAGGGGAACAGTGACAATGGTAGCCTTTGATCGGTCTCCTGAGCCACCTCTGCATGAAGAGGCCATCCGCCCTTTACTGTCCTCTTGGGAGATGCCTTTTACCGCCTCTCCCCCCATACATTCCATAGAGAGAATTTGTGCTTCCAGCTAAGATGGAGTACCAGGTACTGAACTTACCCTCTTGCCTGAAACAGCTAAGCAACTGGACACCACGGCCCTCAAAATATTAGACATCAAGCAGCAAATCACCTCAGTTCCAGGCACTATAAACACTTTCTGGAACAATACAAGATACAATTAAAAAGAAAATTAATTCATTAACATTGACTCCTCCCAAGATTCCCAGGCTTTCTCCACCCCTTTCCTTTATTCCTTATTGTCCCTGCATTTGGAATGTCCTCCTTCCCAGGCACAATCCCACCAATCCTTGGAGGCCTTTTCAGGTCATTCCTACCAGATGGGCTCACCCTGACCCTTCTCTGAGCCCCAAAACATGTTGGTGCCTCTGCTGGACCCTATAGCTCAATCTGCTGGAGCCCCACTATGGGTCTCCCTCCACCCTTTGGCTTCCTACCCTATCTCCAGGGCACTGCCCAACTCACTGGCCAGGCCCTAGCAAGCGAATGATGCTACATTTCGCTGGGTGGATTTATTAAAATGCAGCAGGAGGAGAGAAACAACACAGGTACCAAGCACCTCTAACAGAAAGCGTGCGGAGGGTGAGCGCTTGGGAGCTGCTGGGTGCAGGTGCCCCCTGATATTGGGAAGGCCTCAGCAGCCACAGCCACAGCCATCTGTGCACCTGGGCTGACAGTGCTGGGCGGGCTGCATGGGCCAGGTGTGGGGGATGTGTTGGGTGGGCTGGGCGTGCCAGGCGGGCTAAGGCTCCGGCAGCACTGACACCCACGCTTCTGAGTGCCGCGCAGTGGTCGCCTTCCCACAGCCTGCAATGACAGGGAGGAACCGTGTCCCTGGAGATGAAGTGGGAACACTCTCGGGTTCAGCCAGCCCGATTTCCTAACCTTCCGCTCCTTCCGCCGGCCAGAGGGAAAGAGGTCTCGGGTGGTCTGGGCTCTGGGCAAGGCGGATCCTTTCTCCGGCCTGCCGCCTGCATCCACCAGCTTCCCCCAGCGCAGTCCCGCCCTTCTCAGCAGCCTCCAGGCTGCCTCCTGGTTGCCTAGGAAACACCGCGCGCCTCCGCGGGGTTTCCTGGGCCCTGAAGTCCACCCGCAGCCTCGCCCGGGCCGGCAGTGCCCAAGAGGACTACAATTCCCAGGAGGCTGCGCGGGGGGCGGGCCCGAGGGCGTGGCCGGTGGGCGAGGCTTCCTCTCGCTGCACGCTGGGGGCCTCTGGCCGCAGAAGAAGATGGCGTCGCGGAGGGGCTGGGCGCGAGCGTGCGGCCTCCCGGCTCTGCTGCCGCTGCTGCTGCTGCTGCTGGGGCCCCGGCTGGCGGCGAGCCATGGCGGCAAGTACTCGCGGGAGAAGAACCAGCCCGAGCCATCCCCGAAGCGCGAGCCCGGGGAGGAGTTTCGCATGGATAAGCTGAACCAGCTGTGGGCGAAGGCCCAGCGGGTGAGCGGGCGGAGGTCCCGGGGAGGGGGAGCGTTCGGCGGTGCGGGACCCGGAGGCTGAGGCAGAGTGGTTCCGGGGAAGGGGACGGCCCTGCCGCCGAGTGGGGCCGGGTGTGGGCGGCACTGCGAGGCCTGGGGCGGGGGAGGAGGCAGAGCGGGATCTGGTGGGGGGGTGCGGCTGAGCCCAGACTCGGGGGCCGGGGCCGGGGGCGGCTTAGTCTGGGCGGGCGGGGAGCAGGCCAGGGCACCTGTGCTGGTTTCTGGTGCTAGTCACCGCCGTCCTTGGGTCCAGTCCCTGTCCTTGGCCCAGCCTCCTACAAGTGTCAGTTGGGGCTCTCGACTCCATCTTCAGCAGTAAGGGGACCCAGGCACCGCTGTGACCTGCCCAAGGCGAGACCTGCCATGCCGCTTAGTGCAGCTGAAGGCAGAGACCCCCTAAGGTCGTATTAGGCTACCCAGCCTGGCAGGTCTGCTAACCTGAGCCGCTTCTCCAGCGTTTAGAGGCAGAGCCAGCCTAGATCGCAGGTCTCCTGCCTTCCAGGCCTTTGCCTTTTCTCTCACCTTGCATCTCTCTAGCTGGAGAAACTAGAAAAACGATGCTGGGAATACGCATCCAGGGACACCAGAATCCCAGAAGCAGGCTGGTTCTTTTTTAATTTTGGGTAAGGGGTGTGGAGAGACTAGAACAGGACTTCAGGAATGCTGAAAATCCATCTTATCAGATGATCTGGCAGGGGCTGTGGCTCAAGCCTGTAATCCCAGCACTTTGGGAGGCTGAGGCGAGAGGGTTGCCTGAGCCCAGGGGTGGAGACCAGCCTGAGCAACCTGGTGAGACCTTGTCTCTACAATATATCAAAAAAAATTAGCCTGGCATGGTGGCATGCGCCTGTGGTTCTGGCTACTTGGAAGGCTGTGGCGGAAGGATCGTGGGAGCCCAGCAGGTTGACACTGGGGTGGCCATGAACGTGCCACTGCACTCTAGCCTGGGCAACGGTAAGACTGACTCAGGGAAAAAAAAAATATCAATCTTATCAGATAATCTAATCTGGTCTTCATTTTAGAGATGAACATACCAAGGTTCAGAGGGGAAATGGTGGCCTCAAGGCCTGTGGGGGCTGAACTGGGATTATAACTTCCTAGTTGGTATGTGACCCTGGGCCAGCTGCCCTCCCCATTAACATAATGGTGACTTTATTTGTTGGGTGTAGGTTTATGCTTAGTAAAATGGATAAACTGTGACCTGCCCTCTAGGCCTCAGTATCTTCCTCTGATCTAAAATGAAGGGCGCCAGGTTAGGTCTTCTGATAAATATTCCAATTTCAAACTCTCCTGCGGGAAGTAAATAACTTGCAAAATAAGAACTAAGTTTTGGAACAAAAAAAGAGGAGAAACCTTGGCAGGGAAGAGAGGTGGGGAGCGGCAGTTGGGAGGAGACCCTGTAGGGACAATGGAAGCCTGAGCAGAGCTCAGCAGGCCCTAATGAGGCCCAGCCTTGTGGGCCCAGCCTTGCTCCCTACCCAGTGTCCTTGGGGATCCCTTCTGCTGGTGTAATGTTCAGGCTGGAGGTGGGAGAGCACCCTGGAGGGGCTAGGGGCACGGCCTGGTATAGACATGTTGAGAGCCAGGGAGCAGCTGTGACCAGGAGCGACTGGGCACAGGCTCGTCCTCACCTGCCGCTGTCTCCTGGTGCCTGCTCTCCTGGGTGCACTGTGCATCTGCCGACAGGGTGGCGTTTCCCTCAGAATGAGGATTTGGGGACTGGGCAGAGGCTAGTCTGGCTGAATTGGAGGTTGTGCTGAGGAAACGCGCTCAAGCCCAAGAACCCAAGCGGCTCCCCTTGCTTTTGGGGCCCAGCCCTAAGTCCTAGCTGTCTGGTCAGCCCCACCTTGCCCCTCTAGACGCAGCTTTACATGCGGTCTCTGGGCTTGCCCTCTGCATGTGCCCTCCTGGCACTTGCTCAAACTCCTCTGATGACCCACCTGCCCCCGCACCGACCTGTTCGGTGACTGTCACTTCCCTCCTGAGACTCCGATGGCTGCTCCCCAGGCCTTGGGCCCAGGCCTTGGGCTAGATGACCCTGACATTCTCCGGTGGACAGCCCATTTTACTGAGCAGGATGTGAAGTCCTCCCAGAGAGGGTTGTGGTTCAGGGAATCTCATATTTGGGTCGGCAGCCTCTGGAGCGTGCGCTGGCTGTTACGGTTTTCTGGATGGCAGAGGCCTGAAGGGTGGTGGGAGGGCGGCCCAGGTGCCTGACCATCAGTGAGTTGGTGTGCAGGTGTCAGACCCTCACACCTGGTGTCACGGTCATCTTTGTTGTGAAGGTCGTTAAGGGTTTCATTCGTCTGGGTAGTCTTCATGCTACAGCTCTCACTGCAGAGGGCCCCAGGGTCCTGGGTGGACAGGGCAGGTGGGCGCCACAGGCAATCTACAGGGGCAGAGAATAATGCAAACAGTTGTCCACATCAGCTTCTTCCTCTTCCCCTTCGCTGCTCTGGGCAGGTATTGAAATTGGCATCCAGGTCCCGAGTTGTCTCATGAAAAGACCTGCGATGACAGGTGTGCCTGTGTGGATATTACCTTACAGGGCAACGTTTCATGGCACGGCCTCGTCAGCCAGTGTTCTTGGCCTCTGTGACTTTCCCCAGCCAGGAAGAACTTGCTCTTCCTATAATTCGCTTTGTGAAAACATGAAGTACTTCGTTTTTGAGTATAAAGTTACAGCATAGCACATGGAGCCATAGAGCGTGACATCGTTTACAGGGTGAAAGAAGGAGTTGGGTGGAGCTCTGCCTGGGATGGGTTTGGGGATGTGAGCCAGCCTGGAGACTCGGTGCCATGGTGGGGGTGGGGGCTCTAGAAGACACTGAGCTCAGCTTTCGTCTTGTGATACCAGCCAGGGAGCTATTGCTTCATTCATTCTTACGTCTGCATCTTGACTTCCTGTGAAGTCACCAGTTCCGGTGTCACAGCCACACTTAGATGGTGGGAACTGGGGTGCTGCTGCTGACCTCAAGTGCTGACATGTGTCCTCGGTGGCACAAGACCTCTGAGCATGGCAGGCACCGAGTGCTGTCCCTGAAGCTCTGGGGGCTGGGCAGCCTACAGTCTTCTGTTGGAGAGCCCCTGTGGGCGGCCCCCATGTGCACAGGGGTCTTCTGGGCTCTCCATAGAGTTGCCAAGTTTGGTGACTCTGAGGAGCACGCGCACCCAGGGGCGTGTGCTCCCCATGTGAGCTTGGAGTTCCTGGCTGACAGACCTCACTTCCCACGCGAGGGCTGAAAGCACGTGAATATTTGTCCCTAGAGGTCAGGCATTTCCTTGCCAGGGTTTGTTTTCCCCTCTGCTGAGAAGGGCATACACCAGGGTGCTTTGCCAAGGACCCTGAGGAAGGGCCAGCCTATGGCCACAGCTGTGTCTGTGGTGCTGGCCCACTGTCCTGCTGGCAGGACCAGCATGCCCCAACACCCAGCGCCTAGAGCACAGTGCGACATCTTCTTCCTGTAGTCCGCAGGCCCATCCTGGCATGGCGTGGGAGCCAGGCTAGCCACCTGGCCTTGCCCAGCTGTGCTCTGTACACAGGAGGACGTCAGTGACTTAGCCACAGGTCATAGGCCTGGGTTTCCTGGTGGGCGTTGAGAAAGCAGCAATGGGTTGTTGGAAAGTTTCAGAGTGCTCCTGCTGGCATGGGCACAGTCCGGAAGGGCACGGGGAGGACACGCACGCAGTTGTCCTTATGCCCTGGGATGGGGCATTTGTCTGGACGGGCGACTTTCTTCCTGCGTGTGTGCCCACCTCCTCGTGACTGGCTTCACTGCTGTCCAACAGATGCTTGCCCGCGTACCGTTTCCATGAAGTTGTTCTAACTCGCCGTGTTAACATTTAACTGTTGAGGGGGATGCACGTGACCTGCCCACCTTCCTCCTGTCTGGGTGCATCTGCGATTGTTTTTTGTGGTGGTGCTGCCTGTGGGCCCTCAGTGCTGAGCTAGGCAGGGACTTTGATGAGTCACATGGTGTGGAATTTAAACCCACAGAGGCCTGGAGGGCCGGGGAGCTGCAGAGGGCAGGGCACTGACACTCCCTGTGGACTGCAGATGCACAGGTCATGGAGCACCTGCTCTATTGTCCGGGGCCCTGAGAAGCTGGTCAGGGTGCATGAAGACCACAGGCTACAGAGGATACCACCTGGTCTTGGGCCCACCAGGAAGGACTCCAGAGCTAGGAGTTTATCCCAGACTAGGGTCTTTTCTCTGCTTTCCAACAAAGAGCCAGCTGGCAGTCAGGGAACACCTGGATTCTCCCCCTGCAGCCCCAGGGCCGCTCGTGGCCAGAGAATGCAGGTCCTCTGGGACATTAATTGATCTGAGATCGAAGAAATATGGGGATCTGGGCTCAACAGTGCTGATAGGGTCTGACCCAGCCGGTCCTGCCTGCAGCACAGCAGGCCAGTGCTTCCTGGTTCACACAGCCTGGCAACTCTGCTCTACGTAGAAGAACCTTTATGTATCTATTTTTTTATGGAGTCAGAGTCTCACTCTGTCACCTACGCTGGAGTGCAGTGGAATGATCATGGCTACCACAGCCTCGACCTGCTGGGTTCAGGCAATCCTTCCGCCTCAGCTTCCCAAGTAGCTGGGGCTACAGGAGCGTGCCCCCACCTCCAGCTCACTTTTTTAATTTATTTATTATAGAAATGAGGTCTCATATCGCCCAGGCTGGTCTCGAACTCCTGGACTCAGCAATCCTCTCAGCCTCCCAAAGTGCTGGGATTATGGGTGTGAGCTACTGCACCCAGCAGAAGAACCTTTTGCTTCACAGAAGGAATGTCACAGAAGGATGTGCCTGCCAGGTGCATGCTTGTTAGTGGCTGGGTCAGATCGGAAGCTGGAGTTTACAAGGAAATGGCCAGTATTCTCTGGTCTGCTGCTCCCCTCCGCCTCGGGGCATTCTGGCCCAGTGACTCTGATGTGGGGTCCCTGTGGTGTAGCTTTAGACATCAGCCATTAAGTCCCATCTTAAAAAATCCAAAAGCAGCCTGCCCAATGGTCATCTTCCTTTCTTCACTCCCAGTCCCACACTGGACAGGTCAGGGATGGGGTGAAGGAATCATGTTGGGTGACCTGCCTGGTGGGTGGGGAAGCCCTCGGAGACCCCCTGCACCCCTAGTGCAGCAGCCTGCTGAGCGGAGCATTCAGGCTTGCACGGGCACAGTTTGCTCTAGCAGGTAAATGAAGGTGAATTGTTCCTGCCCCAAAGGATCCACATCCCTCGAAGAAGCATTGGTGCAGGTGGAGATCGTGGTGCTCTTTGGAGTGGGGACTGAGGACCTTGGGAAGTGGAGCTAGGGCTAAGCTGAGATGGCAGGGAGTTTTTAAAGAATTTCTAGGAAACTGAGCCATACTCTCTCTTCCCTTTTCCAGGAAGTTCACATGTACCTTCTGAAGGGCAGTGCCTGGGTTTGCACTCTGGGTGGCCTGTCTCCTGGGGCAGCTGTGGTCATGCTGGTTTTGGTTTTGATTTTGATTTTGAAGAGTTTTATTTGGAAGTTTCCCTAAGTTCAGTCTTCTGCCTAGTGACTGTGGTTGACTTCTGATCATAGTTCTGTAGTATGTGGCGCACGTGGTGGGGGTCTCTACTCCCTCCCTGTTCACCCAAGTGCCCGAGGAATGTCATCAGCCTCCAGAGTGGGAGAGGCAGATGTCCAGTTACGGGAGCCTGGCCGTGGGCAGCCGCTGTTAGTGGTTCCCGGTGGACTTGAGATTTCCAGATGGTGTCTACAGTGGTCTCCGTGTAAGGCCACCTGTGTGATGCTCTTGTCCTTGTGCACGTGGGGTTTTGAATCCTCCCGGAGTCTCCCATCACCGCCTTTCCTCAAGGGTAGTTTCTCAGGCCACGTCCTTGGCCGTCCTGTAGCAGGCCTTAGGGGCACCTCTGTCTCTTGGCAGCTGCAGCTCTCCCCCATGAAGCTGGCCGAGCTCCATGCCGATCTGAAGATGCAGGAGAGGGACGAGCTTGCCTGGAAGAAACTGAAGGTCGAAGGCCTGGACGAAGATGGCGAGAAGGAAGCAAGACTCAGACGCAGCCTCAATGGTACCTTTTTCCTTTTTTAATACAGGTCAAGTATCCCTTATCCAAAATGCTTAGGACCAGAAGTATTTTGAGTTTCATGGGGTTTTTTCAATAAATATTTGCATTATGCTCGTCAGTTCAGCATTCAATTTGGAAATCCAGAATGTTCCAGTGAGCATTTCACATGAGCAGCATGTCAGGGCTCAGAATGTTTGGGGTTTTAGAGCATTTCAGGCTTCGCATTAGGGATGCCCAACCTGTAGGGAGGGAAGCAGCGCCCAACCTCAGTGGTGCTGGCTTCTTGCTTACAACACGGCTCCTGGCCAAGGCGAGGGAGCTGTAAGTGCCTGTGAGCCTGTGTGGCTCACATCCGGGGACAGACACGCCGTTGGCTATGGTCTCAGCCCCTGCTGTTGGCACACTGGAGGGAGAGCCAGGGCAGGGCCACTGAGCACACGGGTATGCAGGCAGCCAAAGACCCGGAGCTGCTTGGCACAGGAAGGGGCAGAGGGCAGCAGAATGCAAGGTCACCCAGAGGAAGAAGCAGGCACATCTCAGCATCCTGAAGTTGGCGGTGGGAGGTGGATTCTGGATGTTGTGAATAAACGCCCTCACAGTCAAAGCGGACTGTGTTGTGCTTGGTTATGAGCCTCTCCGTGAGGCTCTCTAATGAACCTGGGTTTCGAGAAGAGCAGATTGTCACTTGCTGGGTGCCAAGGTACGGGAGACACAGGTGTTCTCGGGACCCGGAGGTGTTAAAGGCAGGGTCGTGACTGTTTCCGTCCAACCCCTCTTCTCTGCCACCCTTCCCTCACTGCCAGCCTGTGGGCAGGCACCGTGGGAAGAAGGGGCGCCAAGCGGGGCCTGGTTGGTGGGCCTGCAGTACCTCGGGAGTGGTGCTTTCAGCCCTGCCTGCCCTTCCTCTGGGCGCAGGGAGCAGAGGAGCCGCCAGGTCCCCCACGCTGCTGCTTGGGGCCTGGCCACAAGCACCCCCTCACCCGCATGCCCTGCCCTCACCTGCTGCTGCAAGTGAACCAAGCCAAGTACTCCCCCAGGGGCCTCTGCAGGGTTGGGGGGTGGGAGGGGTGGTTGTTGCTGTCATAGGCTTGCTGTCGAGTGTGGCCACAAGGTCCCAGCCGTACCTGGAGTCTGTGCCATGGCCGGTGTGTCATACACACAGCATCCTCAAACAGGTGGTACTCTGTGAGGCAGGCCGTCCACGGGAAGAAGGAGTGGCGTCTCGAGTCCCTTCTTCAGGCCTAGGGCTGCAGTAGCTGCTTCTCACAGCTCTCACCCTCCTGGCAGGTCAGAGAGGGCAGGCAGATTGTGCAGAGGTGCACAGCTGAGGGTGGTGCTGTCAAGGCCTGGAGTCAGGGTTCTGGCTCAAGAGCCAGTGCTCTGCCCTCCGCCGCCCCGCCTCACCCATGCTCAGACCGCAGACATGCTGTGCAGTTGCGTGGGAGTGACGGCAGAGCACTGGCTTCACTCCTGCCGCCCTGCGTGGCCATGTTCAAAGGTGTGGGCGGGACACACAGGACGTGGTGGCAGGGACTGCAGGGGAAAGGAGACAGTTGAAACGATCCAGATAATTTGCCCCAGCCAGCATATCTGAAGGGCCACTTCAGGCCAGGAAAGAGCCTAGAGTGACCCCAGGAGAATGACAGCATGGAAGGGCTGGGGTCTGTCATCTTCTCTGAAGGGAAGCAACCCTGTGGCAGAGGCCCAGGGCTGAGCTGGAGGACCCCTGGGGTACAGAGAGGTGGGCCAGTCACCGCTTTCATCCCCTGACTGGGCACAGCGTCCTTGCTGGGAATCCAGGTCTGTGGCCCAAGCAGAGATCTCTACTTTCAACTTGGGGGCATTGGTCTCTTCGCTGGTGCCCGGTGACCTGACAGAAGGCTTTAGTGGGATCCTAAGAGTTGGTGTCCTGGGCCCTGCTGAGCACTCGGAGAGGCACGTTCTAGGATCCAAGAAGCAGCTGCCTGTAGTCTTCTGGGTGTGGCCTGTAGAGGCCTGTGGTCCCTCAGTCTCTGTGCCATCATCAAGGCCAATGCCATGCCTGGGGGACCACGGAGTGTACTGGGGACAGGGAAGGTACTGCTGTTGCACAGTCCAGGGCCAGCTGTAGCCAGGTCTGGTGGGCACACTGGGCTGTTCAGTCACCCACCAGTCCCCAGTGCCTGGGGAGTAACCTTGTTAGGTCTGCAGTTCGAACCCTGTGTCAAGGTAAGTCCTAAAACAGACAGTCCCAGCCCAACCTTTGGGCTGCCTCATTGCAGGTGAGGAGTGGGGGACAGTGCTTGTCCTCTCCAGGGAGCTCTAAGGGCTCAGCGCCCTGAGGCCACCTCCATTGCTCTGTGATTCCATTCCGTGCAGAACCCAGAGGCCCCAAAGTCTAGAAACTTCCACAGTCCTCCCTGCTGCCTTTGGACAGCGGTCTGGGGCAACTTCTGCAGCCTTGGTTGGAGCTGTCAGCTCCAGCTAGGAAGACCTGGGCCAGACTGGCGTCCGAGCCTGAGGACACAACCTGGGCCAGACTGGCGTCCGAGCCTGAGGACACAGCCTTCCTCCCAGACTCGGGGCAAGGCCTGGGGTGCCCTCAGCTGTCCTCGGTGCTGGGAGAGCAGGCCGGACTCAGGGCCGCGGGGCTTTCAGAGGCAGGGTCAGGTACCGGCTTTCTGACGCCAGGAGGCATTCAGGCAGTCTTTTTTGGAAGAAATCACTTCTATTTCTTTAAATTTTAGATACAAGAGGTACATGTGCTTGTTTGTTGCATGGATTTATTGTGTGATGGTGAGGCTTGGGCTTCTGCTGACTCAGGCACCCGGATGGTGAGCCTGGTACCAGATGGGTGGTTTTTCAGCCCCTGCCGCCCTCGCTCCCTCGAGATCGCGTTTTAAGGAATAAATTGCGTGTGATGGGGGACAGGCCTCAGTGCACAGTTGAGTTTTGAGAAGTGGTTGCACCCGTGTCACCTCTTGACAGCCGGCAGTAACTTTCCACGGTGAGGGAGGAGACCACAGACTGGTTTTACAACATTTAGGAGAACCACCGGCGCACATGGGCTAGAACACAAGGAACTCACGCTCCACACATGAGTCCTCAAGACCCACGTCCAGGCCTCCTGGTGGGGTGAGGCTCAACCAGCCTGCGGCCAGGGCAGTGTGGGCTGGAGAAGGGGAGAAGCTGCCTTCACTGGTGACAGTTTTTTCTCCTGGCTACAGACTGAGCAGGTGACGGAGTGTCCCTGGGGAAGGAGCCGGGTGGGGTCTTGGCGTCAGCCTAGGCCCGTGGTCCCCACTGAGCCCACAGGCGTGGAGGCCCTGCTGGCATCAGTGTCTCCTGAAGGATGTGGGATTAAGGCCCAGAGGAGGATCTGGAGCCAGCGGGCCACCTGCCTGGTAGATCACCTGCGGTCCTCAGGGGTGAGAGGAGGTGTAGGGCAGAGGGAGGCTCCACGCCCCGCTTCTCGGGAGGGCAGGGTGGAGAGCCCGGGAGAGCCCAGGCGAGGCCCTGGGGGGGCACCGTGGAGCCAGGTCTGCAAGAGATCCTCCAGACAGGGAGGCGGCAGGCCCACCTCCACCTGGGAAGGCAGCTGTGGCTGGACGGCCAGGTGAGGGGGTCTGATGGCTGAAGGCGCCAGCACAGGCTAGGTCCTGGCTCCAGGAGACCTGGCAGGTACCTGACCCACAGAGGTGCAGCACAGGGGGTGGAAGCCAGCTGAGCCGGACCTAGGACGGAGGGCGAGACTGCCCCAGGCCCCACCAGCTGCAGAGAGGCTCATCAGCTCCAGGGCTGGCACCCAGCACCTGCACCCCTTGCTGTGCTGTCGGCAGATGGCAGAACTCAGCCCACATGTATGGGGCCTGTCTGTGAAGGGGCTGTGGGGGCACTGCGTGGCGGTGGAAGCCAGCATTGAGGGCTGGGCCCCCGCACGCTGGTGGCAGTTTTTCTCCTGGCCACAGTGTGAGAAGGCGCTGACACTGAAGTTTCTCCTCCAGAAAATGTTTTCCTCCAAGTGAAAATTCGCAGTGGGCTGTCACACACGCTGGCGCCCTCACACTCCTCAGGCTGGCCTCTGTCCTGTGGTCACCAGTTTGCTCTACAGTGGGAGTTGGGGCTGCAGCGTTGTTCTTGAAAATCCATGCCCCTGTCCTGGGGTGTCTTGTGAGTCCTTGGCCCGTTTGTAAATGTTGGGAGACTTGCAGCTCCCAAATGCCAAAGGTCAAGCTTTGTTCTTGTTCCTGGTGGATCTCTAGTGGTCATCCAGGAAACTAGTGAAAGGAAACTTCCAGAAAGCAAGAAGCAGACCTGGCTCTCTGCTCTGGCAGCCGAGACTTGTTGGCTCCTCTGTCCCTGAGGAAACCATGTTAAATCAGCCTTCCCTTCTCTCCTAGTCATTTTGGCCAAGTATGGTCTGGATGGGAAGAAGGACGTGCGGCAGGTGACCAGCAACTCCCTCAGTGACGGCCCTCAGGAAGGCGAGCTGGGCGACCCCAGGTTGGAGAAGCTGTGGCACAAGGTACCCTCGGTTTTCCCGTAACTCCCCAAATGTGTGCCGGCGTGTTGAGAGTTAGGGAGCGCGTGTGTGGGGGGCCCCGTCTTGCTGTGTGTTCCAGACCTACCCACCTCGGCGCAACACAGGAGCTGGACCTGGGGAGTCCTGTGAGAGTGCGCCCCGGTGTTCTGTGGCCATTTTCTCTTCCCTGTTAATCGTCTCAGCTTTCCTGTTGAGAATAGTCCCTGCTCGTTCAGTGAAGGGATTCTGTGTGACTTAGAGCCGTCATCGGACCTCACATGGGAAGAGTATTGAGCTGAGTTGCCGGGGTCGGAAGGGAGCTCGGGCTGGGTGTTTTCCTTGGGGTCTCGTTTTTAATTTAGAGCATGGGCCTGTGGCCGTGTTCCTGTGTGTCGGAAGGTGCCCTCAGCAGGGACGTGTATTGGGACGGGGAGGGCAGGGGGTGCCAGGCTTGCCCAGCCCTGCTCTGTGGGGCGCAGACCTCCATGGGCTGCTGACTCCCAGCACCCTTTTCCCATAGCGCCGTCCAGAGCAGTTGGGTTCACGTTGGTTGGGATGAGGAGTTGGAATTGCTTGTCCCAGCCCTACTCGGAGGGAGTAGCTAGTGAAGAGGCCGGGGAGAGGGCGGGTCCCCTGTGCCTCCCAGCCTGCCCGGCCTGCCCTGTCCTCCTGCGCCTGCACAGCACAGGCAGGTGGAATGACATGAGGTGACTGCCCAGGGTTCTCCTAGGAGGATGGCCTTCCTGTCCTCACCAACCACAGCAGGGAGCCTGACAGGCATGAGGGACCAGGCCGCTGCCTCCCCTCCTCATGGTCCCTCAACCCCCGTGCCTAGCGCTTGGTAGCTGTCGCCACTGAGCCTAAACATGTCCAGAAGGAGGGACGTGGCCCGTCGACCTCCCTTCTCCACCGTTGGACTTTTGTGTTCCCGCCGCACACCTTCATCGAGGATCATGAGGGTGGCAGAGGGCGAGACCTGGCCAAAGTATCTACTCGCTGTCAAGGATCTGCCTGGCCAGCACAGCCTGGTCTGCTGTGGCATCCACACTGCTGTGGGTGCAGACAGGCTGGCCCAGCCCTCGACGGTTTTCACGCATCTTATCTCCCTCTAGGCAAAGACCTCAGGGAAGTTCTCCAGCGAAGAACTGGACAAGCTGTGGCGCGAGTTTGTGCATCACAAAGAGAAAGTTCACGAGTACAACGTCCTGCTGGAGACCCTGAGCCAAACTGAAGGTGCTCCTCTCCCCGCGTGAGGGTCCCACGCCCCCGCCAGGGCCTGCGGTTCTTGTGGGTGGCCCTGGCTCTAGGATGCTAAGCAGGGTGTCACTGGGGAGGAAGGAGAGTCCCAGGCCCTTCCTCAGTTTCCTCCTGGTGTGAGTGGGAACCTCTGTGTTAGAAAAAGGTGCTTTTGAGCTGGGCGTAGTGGCTCAAGCCCCTAATCCCATACTTTGGGAGGCTGAGGTGAAGGATTGCCTGAGTTCCAGGGGTTCGATACCAGCCTGGGCAACTTGGTGAGACCTTATGTCTATAATAAATCAAAAAATTAGCCAGGCGCGGTAGCGCATGCCTATAGTCCCAACTTCTTGGGAGACTGAGGTAGAAGGATCACCTGAGCCCAGAAGGTTGAGGCTGCAGTGGCCGTGAGCGTGCCACTGCGCTCCAGCCTAGGCAACAGTGTGAGACTCCAACTCAGAAATAAAAGGGCATTTTTTGCTGGTTGCCCACGTGTACTTGGTCAGGTGAGCCATTTCTTGAGTAACTTGGCCACCCCTGTCTTTGTCCCTGGGCCCGTCTCCCTCATAGACAAGGGCTGCTGCCCTGATCCACAGCCCACTGTGACGTGTCCGTAGTTCTGACTCAGTGCCTCCACCCTGAGGAGTTGCAGCAGACGAGCTGGCCACCCAGTGTGGTCGCGAGGCCTGGCATCCAGAGTGGGCCTCCGGGACCCACACGCTGTCACCGTCACCATAGGGGGGCCCCGGAATGTGGGCATTCCAGCGTCTCAGCTGTGGAAGAAGGTGGTGCCAGCTCATTCCTGCCTGGAGCGGCAGGGGCCACCGAGGAGCAGCTGGAGGGAGGGAGACGGAGCTTTTCCCCGTTGAGTCCGGTCTGGTGGGCAGGCCTCCAGGAGGGCCTCACAGGCGCTCCCTTTTGCCGTCACAGAAATCCACGAGAACGTCATCAGCCCCTCCGACCTGAGTGACATCAAGGGCGAGGTCCTGCACAGCCGACATGCAGAACTCAAGGACAGGCTGCGCAGCATCCACCAGGGCCTGGACCGCCTGCGGACCGTCAGCCACCAGGGCTACAGCTCAGAGGCCGGTGAGCCCCACGTCCACGGCCCCAGCCTCTGTCCTGACCCTGCCAGTCCCTCTGCCTGGGTCATCCCTAAGGGCGGGCTGCTGCTGTGTTTTGGCAGGATGAGGGGCATGTGCTTGGCGTGACAGGTGCCTGGCCTCGTGGACACAGGGGACCTGAGTCACGCTCAGCCTGCCCCTGGGGTCAGGGAAGGGCTAGCTCGGGTCTCGCTCCAAGGGCTGCCCGTGAATGTCCATCCACCTCCTCAGCTCTGTTACTGGAGAAGGCTCCAGGGTGAGCCCAGGTGGTGGCACTTTCAGTATCTCCCAGCCCAGCCCTGACACCCGGCCCTTCCTCCTCCTCGTTTCGGGGTTGTGGAGCTCAGCTCCGTCCTCGTCCCACTCATGCTGTCAGGCTCCCCGCCTCTTAGTCAGGCTGTACCTTAGGCAGCAGGACAGGGGCTCCACCTCGGCCTCTCAGTCAGTGTCCTCATCACTCGCGCTGCAAGCCCTGGAAGCTAGGCTCTGTCCATTTCTCCTTGCCTGGGATACAGGCCAGGGGCCGTGCTGGGGTTCACAGGCATCTGTCTGACATCACTTTGCACAGTTCTTAATCCCATGTGTCTTTTTCGTCTTGCAAGTGCACTCTGAGCACTGGCTGTCCTGACCACTGCTCTAAACTCAGGAAGCAGCGGTCGCCAGGGTACAGCACCATACCCTCATGGTGTCTGGACAGGAGGGTGGGGTGGCCACTGTCCATGGGCACCAGGCAGGCCCCTTCTCCCCAGGACAGTACTTGCAAGGCCTGATGACAGGTACCCCTTTGGCACGACAGTCATGTGTGTCCATGCTGGTCTGGGCACCTGGCTCCCCTTGGTCGGCTCTGCGAGTGCTACCTGTATTGCATGACTGTCACCTGTATTGACTGTTGCCTGGGAATGGCCCCTCTCCTTGCCTGGGCTCACTCGGCCTGTGTGGGGAAGTGACCTTGCCACCTCATGAGGCCACTGTGAGGGTTCACTAAGCTCCTGTGATAAAGGGACCAGCATAGCCTGGCCATCCATGGTTGGTGCCGTGAAGGGCATATCTGCCCCTGCCCCTCCCCCACCCTAAACATGCGTGTGCACACGCACACTCACATGTTCCCCCTGTGCACTCACACATGCTCCCCCAGCGTGTACTGACCATGTTCGTGTTGGTCACGTGGGTTGGGTCAGCCACGTGGGGCCCTCGTCCCTGGGTGTGCCGTGATCACTGAGGCTGCATTTGCTCCCCTGCAGAGTTTGAGGAGCCCAGAGTGATCGACCTATGGGACTTGGCCAAGTCCGCCAACTTGACTGAGAAGGAGCTGGCGTCGCTTCGGGTGAGGATGTGGGTGCTGCTGTCCCACGTTGTCTGGCAGCCGTCCCCCGTTCTGCTCTCCAGCATGGCGGAGCTCCTGTCACCGTTTCTGCCTTGTACAGTGAACAGGCTCGTATTTCTGTCCAGACTTCTCCTGGTCCTCTGTTTTGTGCTGACCTCGGTGGCCCTGTGGTGTCTGGCTGATGGCCGGCCCGTATGGGCCCCACGAGCATGCTCCACCGAGCCACTGGTGGTCTCAGGCTTCAGGGGCCTCGCTCAGGCTCCACGTGCTGCATGAGCATGCATAGGGGCTGGGTCGCCAGCAGGTGCTGGGTGGGGCATGTGGTGGTGGTCGGGTGAGGTATGCAGAGCCCTTTGTGGCAACTGGGTGAGGTGAAGTGAGGAAGGGACAGAGAGGGCCATGTGGGCACTGGGAAGCCGGTGGCACGGCCTCACTCCAGGTGCACAGAAGGCTCTGAAGGCCAGAAGATCAGGCTGCTGGGGAAGCAGACATGAAGAACTTGCGCTGGGACTGTGGGCCTGAGGAAGGGTCTTTGGTTTCTTCCTTCAGGACGTCTAAGTGTCCCTCAGCCTAGGCCCTACTCTGACAAAGCTGCACGTGGCCAGTGGGTCCCATGAAGGGCAAGGATGGGGGAGGATGACCAGGATTGTCTGGGGTGTTGCCGCGTCCTGAGACAGGAGCCTGGGGAGAGAAGGAGGCTGCCTTGGTGGAAGGCAGCCTGGGGGCTTGTGGGTTCCAGATGATCCTGCACGTGAGCCTGGAGGGAGCCAGTGGGAGCACGGTGAGCAGCAGGAAGCAGGGGGCCCTGAGTGATGGCGTCAGCCTCATGATAGCCGAGCAGGAATGTCAAGGGGTCAGAAGCTCGGCCAGGCTGGGGGTGTCAGTGTGTGTCCATGAGGTCAGCAAAGGCCCCCGTGCTGAGGTGTGTCCTGAGCAGGGTAGACAAGACCCCACCCTCATGGGGCTTTTGTGGCCTCAGGAAGGGCCCATAGCCCCCCCAAGGAGGTGTCAGGCTTCCTTCCAGAGGGACTGGGGTGCCTCCCTGGGAGCAGGTACGTTCGAGGGTATTGGCAGGTGGGGCAGGAAGCAGGGACCTGGGTCTGGAGGGGAGAGGGAGGATGAGGTGGAGGCTGGGCAGGGTGCCCGTGGGAGCTAGGATACCTCGCCGAGGGTGGGAACGGGAGGGAGAGGAGAACAGGTGCCGAGGCAGCTGGGCAGAGGCACCGCCCCTAGATGGAGGGTCCAAGCGGGAAGAAACCAGGTACACAGAGAGGGCAAGCAGGTGCAGGCACAAGGGTCCACCAGGGTGTCCCCTGAGAGACCACTTCCAGTGGGATCTTCATAACTGCCCACCATCCAGGGCTGGTCTTCGGGAGCTCCTGTCACCCAGCAGGGCCAGTTCATGCTCTAAATAAGGGGCCCTCGTGGAGTCATGTTGGAGTTTTGCTAGGGCCCTCTAATTGGGGCAGGTGGAAGGAAGGTCATATGTTGTTCTAGGAAGAGCTGAAGCACTTTGAAGCCAAGATCGAGAAGCACAACCACTACCAGAAGCAACTGGAGATCGCCCATGAGAAACTGAGGCATGCGGAGAGCACGGGCGATGGGGAGCGTGTGAGCCGTAGCAGGGAGAGGCACACACAGCTGGAGGGCAGGGCCAAGGAGCTGAGCTACACGGTACGTGCACGGGTTGTGGGGTGTGGAAAGGGCCGCTGGGTGGGCGGCCAGGGCTTCCCACAGACAGTGTGGGCTGCCCTCCGTCGTCCCCGTCAGGTGCCCAGGAGCCACAGGTTTGCAGGACATGCTCACAGTGGCCACACAGGGAGCTCCATGAGCAGGAGTGCGGTCTCCCAGCCCTTGGGCAGACGCCGTCCTGGGCAGGCCACAGCTGCATCCTCTGGCGGCCAGTGGGATGACCTCAGCGCCCCGCAATGGGTGCCAGGTGGGGCATGTGGTGGTGGGCCCATGAGGTATGCAGAGCCCACAGAGAGGGCCATGTGGGCGCTGGGAAGCTGCAGCACGGCGTCTCTACAGATGCACAGAAAGCTCTTCTGGAGGGAGTTGGGGGGCTGGGGCCCAGTGGAAAGAAACTCTTGTGCCTTTTGGACTTAGGCCCATTAGCACCTACAAGATAGAGCACATCAGGGGTGCCGCGAGGAGGGGGTGGTATGGCTCTGTGCCTGCTTGTCGTAGCGAGGAAGCCAGCAGCCCAGACGCCCACAGTGGAGGAGGGCTTGTATCTCAAGTTAGCATCACAATGTGGAATTTACAGAGAACTCACCCATGACAGGCAGAGGTAAGCATGATCCTAGCGTCACCTGACCCTGGGACAAAGACGCAGTGTGGGTGAAGAATCTGGGTAGCGTTGGATCCAAGGCTCAGACCGCTGAAGCAGACGTTGGAGGAGGGCCAGGGGTCAGAAGGTGGCTGAGAGGAGGGACAGGCAGTGGATCACGCTATTGGAACCTTGGGCTGTGTGTGTGTGTGTGTGTGTGTGTGTGTGTGTGTGTGTGTGTGTGCAGTGCTGGTGGGCAGGGTTTTGTGAGAATCTGGAAGGGCCACAGAATAGGCCTGGCTGGGCCGGCTGACAGGGAACCTCTACTGTGGGACATGCTGGGGACCCTCTGCACACAGTGGTGTTCCGAAGTTACTCCCTCCCGATACCCACCAGGCCCAGGAGGAGGAAGGTGTCTCTCCCAGAGCCCCAGCCCAGTCTCTCTGGTCATGGTTTTTGAAGATGACATGGGCATCATTTTCCTTTTCTCCATGACCTGCTTCTTGCTGTTTCTTTTTAATTTTCCTTGGTGGATGTTTCTCCTTAATCCCAAGCCGCTCTGTTTTTCTCAGTGACCACGTCTGCATGGGTGCATAACGGGAACGTGAGCAGAGAGTGCGTGTCTCCATTTTAGATTGTGGTGTCCTGGTCATGAGCGGGGATCTCATAAGACTGCCTTTGCATTGCGCTGTCCCAGCTGATGAGCCATTCTCTGTCCACAGGTAAAGAAGCACCTGCAGGACCTGTCGAGCAGGATCTCCCGGGCTCGACACAATGAGCTCTGACAGCATCCAGGAGGCAGCCTGGCAGGGCAGGTGGCATGAGGCCTAGGGTTCCCTGAGGCGGGCCCAGGGACGCAGGCTGTGGCATTTATATGGACAGCTGGTGGTGAAGGTGGCAAGGCTGGCACAGATGTCGTGGCAAGAAGGACCGTTTCAGATGACTGTCCAGCTGCTGCTGCAAGACTGTGTGGCCATCTTGGGCCTGAGATTGGTCCCCGCTCTGACTGACAGGCCCTTGTTTTCTCTCATGCCAGCATGGCAGTCACCACTCCAGTGAGGACCTTGATGTCCAGCTACCAGTCAGGTCTGACCATCCTTTGCTGTGACAACATTTGCTTACAACAAATCTCTTAAGTCGACCACTGGAAATATTAAGTATACAGTCCTTAAAAACATGCCAGTATTTAAACCATCTGTTGTTGCCTGGTCACTCTGTCTTGGCAGCACTGTGGCCGGAGCCAGCAGCGCGGCGAAGTGAATCACTGTGAAGGGGCTTCCGCATCACTGCCGGCTCAGAGCACGTCCCTGACAGCTCTGAGTCCCTGCCTGCCCTCTCCCTTTCCAGTGGGTGCCCGGCCTGGTCTAAGCCAAGAGCCCTTTAGAGTTGAGGTCTTGGGAAGGAGGCAGCAGGGCAGATGGCACACGTAGTCCTGTGGGGTCAGGCCATGCCTGGGGCAGCGTCTGTTCTCTCGTCTGCAGCTGAGAGGTCACGAAGACCCCGAAGAGCCTGCAGGGCCTCCATGTCCTGCCTACGTGCTGTATTTCTCACGGAGGAGAGAGCAGCCATGAAGGTCTTCCCTTGACCACAGCTGTGGACAGGGCATCGCCCAAGTCAAGGTTGGAACGTGTTTCCCAAGTTTGAGCCAGGAAGAGGCCAGGTGTTTGGGGTTTTGCCATGCCTGGGTCTCGGCGCAGATGTTGAGATCAGCTAGACATGAGTACCCATCAGCCACCATTTATAAGAAAGGTCCGGGCTCCAGGCAGCATGCTGGGAGTTCGCAGGGCACAGCATGTGGCCCGTCATGGTCCCTTTTTGGACTTCCTGTTCCTGTGTGGACTCAGGAGGGGGTGGCCATCTGCCTGACCCAGCAGCACCCCTTCCCACATGTCTCTCCCTTGGGCTTGGGAGCCTTGCCGGGCCCTCCAGTGGTGTCTCATACTGTCCCTACCAGGCAACTGTCTACCCAGGCATGACCTTCAAGGCCCAGGGAAGCTTGCATCTGCCGGGGTCTCCATGTTGGTCCCGTCAGACTCACCTTCTGACGCATACAAGAGAAACCTTCCTTCCTGAGCCATGGTACAGGCCTGCCCAGAGGCGTCACTGAGGTGAGGGCTCCCGGGTATGGGCTGCAGCTGGCTTTTTCTCTGAACTTCTGAATGACTATGTTGAAGTCAGATGTGCCCGAGGTCTGCAGTACCCCAAGGTGAAGAGTGGGGGCGCCAGCCTGGTCTAGGTCTTCGTAGCATTCTAACCAGCCACGCCACGCTCCGCTCCTGGAACTAGCCACTCCCTTGTCTTGGACAAAATCGGGTTGCCCCATTTGAATTCCATAGAAATGAAACTACAGTGTGTGTTTGTATATGTGGTGTCAGTATGTTGGTGAGAGTCAACCATGTGGCCTAGCAGAAGTGTGTTATTTGCGTTGCTGTGTAGTATTCTGTTGTGTGACTGTGTCATCCTTTGTTTTCAGTCCATTTTATTGTTGATGGATATTTGAGTTGTTTCCATTTGGGGTAATGACTCTCAGCTGGAAAGAGCTGCAGTGAACAGTGTGTGTGTGTGTGTGTGTGTGTGTGTGTGTGCGCAGCGTACACACATTCACACACGCACACACACAATTACTGGCTCCTAGGAGTAACTGACAGAGCCAGTTACTGCGATGAGCATCTGTTAAAGTCTAGTAGATGATTCCAGGGTGGTTAAGCTGCGTTTCTGCCTCAGGTAAGAACACCAGCTGATGGGCAAGACTTGTCTTTTTTTTTTTAATTTTTTATAATCTCAAAGTGCTGGGATTATAGGCATGAGCCACCATACCCAGCCCAAGACTTTCTCTTTTTTGGGGGGGGCGGGGAGTTGGAGTCTCACTCTGTTGTCCAGGATGGAGTGCAGTGACACACTCACAGCCACCCCAGCGTTGACCTGCTGTGCTCCGGCGATCCTTCTGCCTCAGCCTTCCAAGTAGCCAGAACTACAGGTGTGTGATACTACACCCAGCTAATGTTTGATTTATTGTAGAGATGTGGTCTCACTAAGTTACCCAGGTTGTTCTCAAACCCATGGGCTCAGATATTCCACTTGCCTCAGCCTCCCAAAGTGCTGGGATTACAGGCACTGAGCCCAGCCAAGACTTGTCTTTTAGATGCAGACATTCTGGCTGGCGTTTTATGATATCTGATTGAGGTATAGTTCTGTTTTTATTGTATGATGGGTTATTTTGTATGTGAGCAAGGGTGTGTGTTGGAGGTAGGAGGGAGTTACAGACAGAGAAAACCCAGATCCCAAGTGTCAGTTGAGCGAGTGTGGATGGTCACATGCACTCATGTAACCCTGGAACAAGAGGCCATTCCCTTCACTCCGCAGGCCAGGCCCACTCAGGGCCCCCCTTCCTGGTTTTTGCCTGACTTGAATTTCACATCAGGGGAACCAGGCAGTGCGGGTGTGTGTATGTCAGGTTTCTTTCCCTCCGCATGGGCAATCCACCCAGCTGTGTGTGTACCCATATGGACTCTTGCTGATGGCACCCTGCTGTGTGGGCGTGTGCAGTTTGTTCAGTCACCTGCCTGCTGGCAAGTGTTCCTCTTCCAGTCTGGGCTGCAGCCAAGGTGCATCTGTCCCTTCTCTCAGCACCATTTGTCTGTCACACAGACTTTTTTCCTCCAACGAAGTGATTTGGTGCCTCTATCAAAAGGCAGCTGACCTCATAGGCGTGGGTCTGTTTGTCCACATGCTGTTGACACACTGTCTTGACTTTAGCAGGTTCCTCTTAGTTCTGAAAGCAGGTAGTACATTTTGAAATCCGCTTCTCAGTTCCTACAGAAAGTCTTCTGGAATTTCCATAGGGATTCTTTTGAATGTACTTTTGAACACATTTTTTTTTTTAGTTGTTTGTGCATAATGATTGTATACTGTATATAATCACATTGATATATATGAATTCTAGTAATGTTTTGTGGATTCATGGGGTTTTCTGCATACTCAAGTCTGTCGGTAACAATGACAAATCTCTGTGCCTTATACTCTTACTGCATTGGCGAGGTGGGCCAGTGCTGTCAAGGAGTAACTGAACCTCCTTATCTTATTCTCAGCCTTAAAGAAAGTGTGTTCAATCTTTCACAGTTCAGCCTCACATTAGCTAGAGGGTATTTTGTTTGTTTTGTTTTGTTTGCAAATATGAAGTTTTGCTATATTGCCCAGGTGCTGCTATATTGCCTATTACTGGTTTCAAGCTCCTGGCCTCAAGTGATCTTCCCACTTCAGCCTCCCAAAGTGCTGAGATTACAGGCATGAGCCACCACAGTCAGCCTTCTGTAGGGTTTTCTTTTCTTTTCTTTTTTTTTTTTTTTGAGTCAGAGTCTCACTCTGTTGCCCAGTTGGAGTACAGTGGCACGCTCACAGCCACCCCAACGTCAGCCTGTAGGGCTCAGGTGATCTTTCCGCCTCAGCCTTCCAAATAGCCAGAAATACAGGTGCACGCTACCACGCCTGGCCAATTTTTTTATTTATTGTAGAGATGAGGTCTCACCAAGTTGTCCAGGCTTGTCTAGAACCTGTGGGCTCGGGCAATCCCCTCACCGCAGCTTCCCAAAGTGCTGGGATTACAGTCTCCTGAGCCACCGCATCCAGCCTAGAGTTTTCATAGATGCATTTATCTGATTGAAGAGATTCTCTTCTGCCCTGGTTTGCTGAAGGCCCCAGTGACCTGGCATTCCTGGATAAGTCCCACTGGGCATGACGTCCTGTTCTTTGTCTATATGACCAGATTAGATTTGCTAACACTTGGTTTGGATGTTCATAAGGGACACTGGTCTCTAGTTTTCATTTCTTGTTATAGGTCTCTGCCATGTTTTGGTGTTGGCATTTAATTGGCCTCCTGAAACAAGTTCTGCCTTTATTTGTATAGGATTGGCATTATTTTTTTCATAAATGTAAATGTTATGGATGAAGCCATCGAGGCCTGGCATTTTCTTTGTGCTTAGGGGTTTTGATTAAGAACTCAAGTGTTTAAAACAGACAAGAGACTGTTTAGATTTGGTTTCTTCCTGTTCGTTTTTTTAACAGGGTTACACTTCCCCAGCGGGGCCTCCAGAATGGTAGGTGTTAGGTCAGGTCTGCTGGGAGTGTGGAGGTGTCTGGTGTGCGATCCGATGCCGCATGAAAGATACAAAGAATTGCACAGAAGCTAGATTAGAGAATATAGTTTATTTAGAAAGGAAATGGGGGGGGGTGACTCATCTCCCCAAGGTAGGGGAGGGGGCCAAAGCTAGGAAACATGGCCTGGCCACAGCTCAGAGAGCACATGAACATACCACAGCTTAGCAAGGCAGCGGCAGAATGGCTGCTTGTGGTTGAGTCTTTTTAACCATTCCCTTTGTTGGGGAAAGGTCATTTAGGTGATTGGGGGGGTACTGACTCAGGTGATGGGCCGCAGGCTGATGGGTGGGTTAGTCACTGGAGTCTTGGTCATCCCCAGACATTAGCATCTCACGCCCTCAGCCGGTGGGCTAGATGGGAGGAGATGAGGGGAGGGGGTTTTCCTGCAAGAGACTTTGTCACACATTTGCAGTCCACACTTCCTGACCAAAAGGTGGTCTGTTATCATTTCTGTGACTCTGTGCTTGTCTTGCCTGATGAAGATTTGCCAAGGGGGTGGGGCATGCTGCAGTAGAATGTCTGAACATGTCCTAAAACCTGCCTATTGGGAATTTATCTATGTCTAACTGTGTCAAAGTGTGTCAGGGGTAAAATCTAAGCAAAAATGGCTATGCTGAGGCAGAGACTACGCTAAACTAAGTTTGTTCTAGGTTTCTATAGGTACTTCCTTTCAATAAGTTTGTCAAAGAATTTCATCTGCATTATCAAAATAATTTATATGACATTGTTCGTACTTCTCTTAATGTCTACAAACAGTGTAATGATATTCCTCTTTTTTTCATCTCTGATATTGGTGATTTGTGTTTTGTCTTTTTCCCCTGATTAGTCTCACTAAGGGTTTATCGATTTTATAGATAATTTCCCCAAAAAACCTACTTTGGGTTTTATTGATTTTTCTCTATTGTCTGTTTTCTTTTCGTTGACTTCTGCTCTTTTATTCTTTTTAATTTCCCATCTTCTACTTAGTCTGTGTTTAATTTGTTCTCCTTGTTCTGGGTTATTATGATAAAGCTTAGATCATTGATGAAGAACATGAAAGGGT